TATTTCTTCCCATTTGGCCGCTGTTGATAAAATATGACTTAGAGGTTAAAATACAGTATCAAATGGCCCTTATACATACTTCATCTATCGTATTTTACGTGACATACTTACCTTTTTTAGTCTATTATGAAAAATATAATTACAAATAATTTAACTATAGTCTTTCACTTTATCCTTAATGGAATACTCTCTGGTCCATTTTAATTGATTTGTTGACTGTTTTTACACATATTAAGGAATTTACTTTTTAGCATTAATTAATAATAAAATTGACCATATTTATTTTAATTTGTTCATTGAAAATATAACAAATACTCATAGTCTCTTTACTCCAAGGGCAACTTTTGAAAAAAAGAAGAAGTTAATTCCTTTTTGATATCTAAAAAATCAAATATTGTTGACCACAAAAAAGGCCAAAATATCAGTTAAATGGGTCAGAGAGAGTAGTTCATAACCTAAGGGGAGCCTTGGAGCAATGATACAGTTGTCTCTGTGTGACCTATAAGACACGATTCGAGGCGTGTAAGCAGCCACTAATGCTTGCATTAAGGTAGACTATCTATATTACACCCTTGGGATGCGACTCTTCCCCGGGTCCTGTATGAATGCGAGATGCTTTATGCACTGAGCTGTCGCAAATTTCGATAATTTTTTTTTATTTCTTAAACTTGGAATCAAACACTGTCATATACAAAATGGAGGTGAGAGTATACATGTGTACTTGTAGAGATACAAATACCTTTTTTTTCTCAGCTCTGCACATCCAAAGATAGACAGGAGGGTAGGCCATCTAAAAAGAAAGTGAATCCCAAACACCACTACAAAAACCAAGACTCTTTTTTTCCAGAAAAAAAGAAAAACAGATTTCAAGAACAAATAATAGAATCTCAGCCCTTCATATCCCTTCCTGATATCTCAAGCAAAAACAAAAACAACCCTTCAAGCTGAAATCTTTTCTCTCAATATCTTCATCAAAAGAGTAAAAAAAATACAATGTTATAATATTTCAAGAATCTCCCACAAATGGGCTTACACAAAAAACCCTGTTGTATTTTGTCTCTTTTCTTGGTCATTCTTGCAATTCTCATGCTCATTCCACTAACTGAATCTGCATCTGAAAACACTAACTTAGTATACAAAGGTTGTGCAAAACAAGCATTATCAGATCCATCTGGTGTTTACTCACAAGCACTTTCAACTCTTTTCGGCTCACTTGTTTCACAATCCTCAAAGTCAAATTTTTACAAAACTACTACAGGCAGTAGCCAAACAACAATAACTGGTCTTTTTCAATGTAGAGGTGACCTTTCAAATGTTGAGTGTTATAACTGTGTTAGTGGTTTGCCAATACTTATAGACAAACTTTGTGGCACTCCTGTTGCAGCAAGAATCCAGCTTTTAGGTTGTTATATGCTATATGAGGTTTCTGGTTTTCCTCAAATATCAGGAATGGAAATGTTGTATAAAACTTGTAGTGGTAAAAATGCTCAAGGGAGTGGATTTGAAGAGAAAAGAGACACTGCTTTTTCTTCATTGGAAAATGGGATGGCTAGTGCTACCAATGGATTTTATACAACTAGTTATGAGTCTGTTTATGTTGTAGGACAATGTGAAGGGGATGTAGGCTCATCTGATTGTGTTGAGTGTGTTAAAAGTGCTGTCCAAAAAACTCAAGTTGAATGTGGTAGTTCAGTTTCTGGTCAAATTTTCCTACACAAGTGCTTTGTTAGTTTTAGTTATTATCCAAATGGGGCTCCTAAAAAATCATCATCTTCTTCATATTGGTCTCCTTCTCCTTCTTCAGGTATTTTCTTGAATGAATTGATTTCTTGAATTTGTTTATTCAATTAGATTGACTGTAAAAATGAGCCTTGGAACAACGGTCAAGTTATGTTTTCGTGTGATCGAATTTGCCACTGATGCTTGCATCAGAGTCGGCAGCTTACATCACACCGCCCTTGAGGTGCGGTCTCTTCGGACCTTGCATTAATTAGATTGACAATGGTTTCTGGTTTTTGCAAGTTTTATAACATCCTAATCAAGATTTGTCTTTCTTAGGCTTTTGAGGCTGTTTTCATGGCTCTAACCTATGACCTCTTAATCACATAATAACAACTTTATTAGTTATAACAATAACAAGCTCCTTCAATGACTTTTGAGTTGTCTACCTCTTTAAATTAGTTTGTACATATTATTAAAAAAGACTGTTAGAACAAATAAAGGGACCATCTTAAATTGATTTTTTTAATAATATGTCACTGTTAACAAGATGTTTGTCTACCTTAGATTTGTGTGCTATCACTTACAGATTTGTTATCAATATTTCTATAGTAATGAGAGTTGTGTTAAATGAATGTAGGGACAGGCCAAAACACAGGTAAGACAGTGGCTATAATACTAGGAGGAGCAGCAGGAGTTGGTTTTCTAGTCATTTGCTTGCTGTTTGCTAGGAACTTAACGAAGAAACATGATGGTAAGTACTTAGACTAGTGTGTGTTTGGTATGAAGAAAATATCTTTCGGAATTCTAAAATAAATTTGTCTCACTTTCCAAAATACAGAAACTATTTCAAGAAGTCATTTTCCAATTTTTATCGAAAATATTTTTTGGTGTTTGGTTGCTAGAAAAAGATTAAATTTTTTGGAGAATGTTTTCCGTCATACCAAACACACCCCTAGTGATGTTAATTCTTTACTATGGTTTAAATATAACCACTTGCTTATGTTGGTATATTATGATTTAAACATTTGCTGCAGATTATTGAAGGGATCAGCTGTTGTATTATAAAGGCTCGCAAAAGCTTTTTGTGAGGTGGATACTTTCCTTGATTAGATTTTCTTCCTAGAAGAAAAAGAATTTTTCTTTTGTGGAAAAAAAAGTGAGTGATTTTATGAGCTGTAATTCTTGGAATTATTATTATTAGGTTAAAGAGAAAAAAACAAAAAACCATTGAGCAGAGAGTATTTTTGGGGTGATGAAATTGAGATGAATGGGACATAAATTTTTTTGGTGAAATGATGTAACAATACATATGTTTTGTCAACTGTGAAAAGATTACTAATGGTTTTGGCCTTTTTCTCCAATTGCCATGTGCCTTGTTGTCTTTTTTTCTCTTTGTCTAGAATAGTGGTTCACCATTTTCTTTTAAAGTTTTATGCTTTTCAGAAAGTTCTCTCTCTGTATTTCTACTTATTTAATGCATGAATTAAAAATTAATATATATACTTGGGTCAATATCCAAGAATGATATTGTGGTTTTAGCATCTTCAGCAGTTCACTGAAAATGTTTTACCTCAAACTTTATATGGTGAAGGACAGAAATGGAGAAGGCAGGGAAGTTTAGTAGGACATAAAAAGTATAACTTTTGAAAAAAAAAATTAATATTTGGAGTTAAGTTGAAAAATGGTAATTGAAATTTGAAATTATGTTTGTACATGCATTTTACTTGAAAAAATATTGCAGTTTTGTGAGTAGGGAAAAACAATTTTCTGAAAATTTTGAAAAATTCATTTTCAAAAATATTTCCAAAAACTTGTAAAATTTCATGGACAAACACATTTTTGAAAAAAAAAATACAATTTTGTATGAACAAACGGGTCCTTAGAATAATTTGCTTGAGAAAGTAAGTATTTTGGAAGAATGTAATAATTCATTTGGTGCTAACGGAGATGATATATCTTGACGGATTCATGATTTAAACTTTATGAATTTGAGTTTGAAATTCTCTTATAACTCATTTGATTTTGTGGGTTCGGAATCAATATTTGTACTTATTTTAATAATTTTTTTAAAGAGAGTGTGATTAGTAAACCAAGGCTAGAAGGTCAGGATTCCCGACCCTTATGATCGACTAACCCATGTGCAAGCGCTGTTCACATTGAATTTCCGAGAAGCGATCCATGCATTTTGAAAATTCAGATACATGAAAAAGGTTATGTAGTTTTTGTTTGGACTTCTAAACTTCATAATCACTATACTTTTCATTATTGATCTTCAACTCTTGATGTCACCCCTTTTTAAGTATACCGTCACAATAAAAGAATCTTCTTTTCCCAGATAATTTTATCCATGGTCATTGAACTTTTGTGTTTGTTACCCAAAAGTCATTCTTTTTGTTACGCAAAAATCATTCAATTTTGTGTTCATTACACAAAAATCACTTTTCTTTCTTTTGTTACGCTAAAATCATTTTACTTTGCTCTAGTTATTACAAAAGTCATATTTTTACTTGAAAAGTCTATTATACCCTTGACATTATTTAAACCTTCATATTAATTATGCAATACCTTCTATATTATATACTATATAATATATTTCTAACTATGCATTTTATTTATAAATAAAATAACTTAATATTATTTTTATAATATATTCGTATATTTAATTTTTTTAACGTTAATTTTCAAAATATATTAGTAGTGTTATTAAATTTATCAGTAACTTTAATATATATATTAGTAGAAAAATAAATCGGCAAGTACATTTCCGTGAGAAAATTCGCAGGTAAACAAACAAAATGAGGAAAAAATCATGTTAATCTGAAGGAAAATCCCTAGGTACTACATGTGAATTTAGCTGAGGATATTTTCTTGAGAATTTACCTGGACAATTGGTTATTTGGGAAATTACATTACTAGAAATTCGGAAAAAATCGTCCAAAAAAATCGACCAAAATTGGCCGGTACTGGCCAATAACCGTCCAAAACGCGATCATTAACGTGTGATCGTTATTTTCAAGGTCGGAAGGGTATACCGACCAAAGTTGGTCGGAAATTACCGACCAACTTTGGTCGGTCAATTAAATTAAAAAAAAAAGAATTACTAAAAAAAGTTGTTTTATAACGCTACTAATATATCTCGAAAATTAAAGTTAAGAAAAAATTAAATATATGGATATATTATAAAATTAATAAAGAAAATAATATTAAGTCATTTTATTTATAAGTAAAATAAATAGTTAAAAATACATTATATAGTATATAATATAGAAGTTATTACATAAATATGAAGGTTTATATAATATTAAAGGCATAATAGACTTTTCAAGTAAAGATGTGACTTTTCAATAGCGCCGAGGTCTATTGGTAACTAGGCCAGTGCTCTCCTCCTTCCTTCTCGCATCTTTGCTTCAGACTTGATGAACATCTTGTAACAATTAGCACTTGCAATGCTGCGAGAGATCGCATGCCTTCTGGAAAGGATGTCAACATAGGTGAAACATCAATTTCCAATCGATTGAGGGCAATGAGGTCGCCTATCCATTCTGGTATTGTTGTGAAGTTAGGACATCCCCAAATCACTATAGACTTCAAAGTACTCGAGAAATGTTGGAGCCAAACTGGAAGCGACATTAGCTTGTCAAGCATGTTAACACTGAAAGTCAATAAATTCCCCGGGACATCAAATTGCATTGCTTCTTTGTTCGACAAATCAAGCAGAGGGCAATTCTCTATACATACAAACTCGAGGGAAGTGAGGTGAGTTAGACATGTGGATAGAGATACCAGATTTCTGCAGTTACTAATAAACAAGGATTGGAGCGAAGTGAGACACTTGAACGAATCCTCTGGCATAGTTGCTAGGCCCTCGATAGAAAATAGACTCAAGCTATTTACATTGAAAAGAGGAGAAGGATGAGGAGGTGGGCAAAGAATTTGCTTCAATATCTTCTCACTTATTATCCCCAAATAAAGTTGTTTTAGGGAAGGGAAGTAGCACTCATATGTAGGAGAATTTGATGGTAGCATGAATTTATCATCATCACCTTCTATGCTCTCCACGACGTCAAGATTCCATTGGAGTACAAGATCTTCGAGAGAAGGCAGTCGCCATAATGGTGGGAGCTTTTGGCATTTATGACAATCTCTGATATATAGATAAACAAGCTTGGGTAACAAAAGGCCGAGATTATCAACCATCAACCAACTTGGGAACCTTGATCCACTATAATTTTCTATTTGCAAGCTTTCAATGTTTTGGTGCGGCTGCAGGGCCTCCAACATTATCAGATCAGCTCCAGTATCATCCTCTTGATTTCCATATTCGAACTCTAGGAACAGCTTCCGAAGATGTTTCATTCTTTTCACTATATCGGTAGGTATTCTTTCTCCAATTGCACGGGCTCGTCCCATGAACTTAATGTGTAATCTATTTCCGAGATCAGCAAGGCTCTTTAATTCATCCAACTTGTCACTTCCCAAACCAGATATACAACTTTCTTTGCCTACAACAAAACTTGTCAATGTCCGTAGAGATATCAATTGGCCAATTCCAGGTGGCATATCTTCCAATGAACCGCAACCATCAAAATCCAGATGCGTGACACTTGCCAACTGCCAAAGTCCTGGTGGATGCGTGACACTTGCCAACTGCCAAAGTCCTGGTGGAATATGGGTTAATGATTGGCACCACGAACATATCAAACTTCGAAGACTCACCAATCTCCAAATATCTCTTGGCAATTTTTTGAGTTTAATGCAATTAACCAACTTTAAAACTTGTAGATTATGCAGCTTCGTGATGGAATTTGGTAAAGTAACAATGCTTCTAGAGGAAATAGCAAGATATCTTAGATGCTTCAGTGCACCTAAAGATTGAGGCAAATTTTTTATCTGCAGGTGACATAGATGCAGAACGCGTAAACATTCAAAACTTGCAAGCATTCTCTCTAACATTGAATTGCTCATAACACTGTATGGAGACCCATTTAGGTAAATAAATGTCCGCAACTTCATATGCTTCGCATAGAAGGGTTCGGGAAATGCCAATGAACCATTAATCTGGAATAAACAAGAAGCATGGAGCACTTGTTCTGGGACAATCTCTGTATCTTCTGTTTTAGTGATACAGAAGAACTCCCTATCCGCAACTTCTTTTGCAAGATCATGAATAAGATCGTGCATTTTGTAAAATTGCGGAAATGATTTTTCTTCAATTTCTTGAAAGAATGACCTTCTTAACAAATCCACGAAATATGAATTTGCAACGTCCTCCACATTGTCTCTGTTGCTAGTAGTTGATTGAATAAAGCCTTGAGTGATCCACATATCAATCAAATCAACTCTGTCAATTCGGAAATCCTTTGGAAAGAGGGAACAATATGCGAAGCATATCTTTAGATGGCGCGGAAGGTGATTATAGCTCAATCTCAAAATGGCCATGACACGGTCGCCTCCTCGTGTGATACTTGACAAATCTTGATTCTTGAAATATATCCACTCATCCTCCGTTCTTTTTAGGCGTAGTAGGCTTCCTATTGACCTTATTGCAAGAGGAACTCCTCCACACTTTTTCAAAATTTCCTTTCCTATTTCCACCAAACTCGAATTTTCACTCTCTTTGGCACATTCGAACGCCATTTTTTCAAACAATGCCCGTGCCTCTTCTTTTGAGAGGTCCCCTAATTTATGTTGGCGAACACTACCTGAAACTTCCACAACTACAACTGAACGAGTAGTTACTAAAATCTTACTTCCCTTGGCTCCACCGATCAACATGTTTTTCAATCTCGATCATTTCGAAGGCATCTTCGTTCCACACATCATCGAGCACCAATAGATATTTCTTCCCATCAAGCATTTCTCGAAGCTGGTTTCGCACAACATCTAGTTGAAGGTAATTAGCCTTCTCCCCTCCTGCAGATTCGACGATTTTTTCTGCAATCACTTTCACTTCAAAAACATCTGAAACACAAACCCATAATCTTTTATCAAATTTTTCCTGAACCATTTCACTATTATACACCGATTGCGTGAGAGTGGTCTTTCCTAGTCCACCAAGACCAACTATTGATATAACCGCAACATTCTCATTTACCTCAGAATTCATAAGAAAATGGAGAATTTCCGTTCTATCATCATTCCTTCTGATGACTTCTCCATCAGGCACAAATGAATAAGTCTCTCTATCCAAATTAGACTCAAGAAGCAAAGGTTGCCTCTTTTCAATAAGGTTTAAGTAGGCCTTATCTTTTGCAATTACATCTAAATTTTCTCAAATGGCCTTGAGACGCTTACTTATCTTAAGATTATAAAGCACGGGATTTGACTTTGAGAAGAATATGCTTACCTTATTCACCAATTTTCGATGCGTAACTTCAGTAGCAAAGTCATCCAAGAGATCATCAGCCTCAAAGAAAACTGTTTTAAGTTTCCTTATCCAATCCCTCACCTCGCGGCTATTCCCCTGCTGCTCCTCCGCGTCAACGAGTACAGCTTGGATTGAAGAAACTGTACCAGACAGCTTGCGAAGCTCATCGCTTAGTCCTCGAATTGATCCTACTTCTTGAGCTGCAAGAGAACCCAAGTTTTTCAAGATTTCAGCAGCAAGCCTGTAAAGAATTTCAGCCATGATGAGAAAGTAATATGATTTGAAGATCAACAACCTTTTTGTTGCAAACTAGTAGTATAAGTCTTTGTATTAGAAGCAGCCTTTACCTAACATAATTTATTAAAGGGTTGATGAAGACCTTGACTTGGACCCCAACAATCATTGAACTCTAACAATAATTAAATCTTCTTTGTTATAAATAAAATTCTATTTAAGGTGAATGTTTATATTTAGATAGATTCTAGGGTTTATTACTTGGTGGCTAAGTCACTCTCTCCCTATAAATAGAGGGTTCTATTCCATTGTAATTCATCTCAATATCAATAAGAATTCTCTCCCTATTTTTCTCTGCAATACTCTTCTTCTTCTTTTATTGTTTCATAACATTCTTTTATTATTAGTGTACTTAAACCTGTTGTAGCACGTACCAATTGATATCATCAGAAGCGGAGTTAGGATTTGAAGTTTATAAGTTCTGAACATATCATCAAACACTGTTGGGTTTTTTAAAAGATGGGGCAGCAAAAAAAAAAGATTAAAAGTATTGATTGAAAATATTTCTCAATAATTTTATTAAGCATAACAAGGTTTTGAATAGCCAATTAGGAACAAAAAAATCCATTTAAAATTCAAAAAACCTAAAATATCTCAACTAACTTAGAAATTTAAAATTGAAATTCATCCTTAAACTAAGCAACTTATTATGCTAAAAAAGTTATTACAGTAATTGAAAGCAACAAAATTTCAACAAAACACATAGCTAGTTTTAGTTAGAGTGAATAGCANCCAAGCATCAAGGTGGTGGAAATTAATTGAAAAGCTGCAAAGCTATCTCAGCTCATCACAAAAGTAAAAATTTAAAAGAGAAAATAAAGATAACACCAACAAAAAAATCATAGAAATTGAAGCTAGTAGCAATTTAACTTTTTAAGTGACTCGAATTTCCTTACAACAGAGTGGGAACTCCAATTTCCTTTCTTAGTCTCATGGTTTTCACCAATTAATTCAGTTTTTGGATTCGACCCTTTTGAGAAAATGGGTTCAGCACCTTGATTTTGGCCCACCTTGTTCTGCAACTTTGCAAATTCACTTGTCCAAATATCTATCAGACCAGCCATATCTCTGCACTTTGCTTTGTGTAGATGTTATATGTGTTTGTTTTGTTTTTGATGTTTTAGCTGGGGGAAGAAGAGTTCGAGGAAATGACTGAAGGAGAGATCTGAATTTAGTCACAAAATAGGTTCATTTCTTTTCAAGTGATTGGAGCTTAAACTTTGGGGTGAAATTCAAAAATAGGTATATTTACGAGTGATAATTGACAAATAGTCATAATTTCAAAAATAATCGAAATTTAGCTACTTTTCATTTAAAATATAAATTTGAACGAAAATACTGTCACAATCCAAATTTATTAAAGGTTGTGATGGCGCCGGACACCACTGACAGGCAAGCCAACACCAAATAATTAGTAAATCTTTTTTTTAATATTTCTGAAATCATAACTTTTCTTCAGTTTGACTGGTAAAAGATGAACTTTATAAAATAAAAAAATAACTTTTTTCAATTTAAATACTGAATACCCCACAATCATCCCAGAACCCGGTGTCACAAGTGCATGAGCAATTTCTAGGAAAATAAAAATGTAATACAACCACTGTCCGGAATACAAATTTGGATATAAAAGAAAATACAGTACTCTGAAGGAGACTCTACTAGCTGTGGATCATATCACAAGATGCAGCTCACCTAAGTCCCTGCATCAACCGTGCCGCTACTAGGCCATTAGCCATACATATGCTTGTGAAACAAAAATACACAACAAGTGTAGTATGAGTACGAAAATAACGCGTACTTAGTAAGTATCCAGTCTAACCTCGAAGAAGTAGTGACGAGAGGTTAACTTCGACACTTACTAGTGGTCCAATAATAAAATATCAATAATGTGAAAATCATGGATTTTATAAAGTGACTGCAAACTCATTAATCATGAAGCAGGTAAATAATTCTTTTATTAATAAGGGATTTCCATAATTCATATTTCATCATTTATCAATTTATCTCAGGTCAAGGAGGTACTATCAAAATTTATAAATTTCAAGGCAAGCAGTACAAGCATGCGCAAATCATGCTGAGGTCATACGACCCGATCCAACAAGTATTTAAACTGTGCACTGCCAAAGGGTCGAATGGCGCAAACCATAGATGCATCTATTACTATGCTCGAGAATCATACATGTGATGCGGTCAAATATAAATAAAAAAATTACCCCGCTCGCGAATCATACATGTGACGTGGGTACACATAGATACACACATTCAAACAGTCAATCAACAATTCATCAAGGGCAATTTATCCAAGAAAAAGACAATTTCTCTTTTAAAAGCCAAGAAAATGATGTTTATCCTTTTATAAATTTATTTACCAAGTTCGATATGATTTAAGCATTTTAAATTGACAATAAGATGACAAATATTGCAAGTAAAGCATGTTTTTGGGTCCCATACTACCCGGACTTAAGCATAATAGTAGCTACGCACGGACTCTCGTCACCTCGTGTATACATATCCCTCACAAATAGGAGCACAATTAATTAGTTCACCTATGAGAATAATTCTCTCATACAAGGTTAGAAAGGAGACTTACCTCGCTCTGAAGTTCCATAACCGGCTTCCAAGCCCTTCCGACGACTCAAACCGATGCACAACGCTCCAAAACTAGCCAATAATTATGCAAACCCATTAATATATGCTCAAATACTCATTATAACACAATCTATAATAATTTCTAACCCCGATCGATAAGTCGATAAAAATCACCCTTGGGCTCAAGTGCCCGGATTCTGAAAATTTTCGAAGATAAACATTACCCATAGCCTTATGAACTCAAATATATGATTTGTTCTCAATTCCATACCCAAATTCGTGGCCAAAATCCAAAAATACAAATTCTAGGTTTTCTACCAAAAACCCAACAATTTTCCCCCAAATTTCCTCCTTTAATCCAATATAAACTTTACATTTAGCTCACAACAAGGGAGGAACTACTTACCTTGTGTTACATGATGAAGACTCTTCAAAATCGGCCAAGAACCGAGCTCCAAAATCCCAAATGAAAATGAAGAAATGACCAAGTTCGATCCCCTTATGTTCTGCCCAGATCTCGTTTCTGCGGTCACTTGACAGTGACCGCATATGCGGTCTCCCTTCTGCGGATTTCCAATCGCTTCTGCGGTCTAGGGGCCCAAGTCCAAATTCCTCATTTGCGGGTAAATTTTCGCACCTGCGGTCATTGCCCTTCATCGCCCAGATCGCACATGCGACCATTACGTCGTACCTACGGGCTCGCACATGCGGCCCTTCTCAGGTAGGTGCGGTTGCACCAGACACCAGTTGCTTCAGCCCTTCCTCAACTTCAAATTTCAATCCGCTAACCACCTGGAATCCACCCGAGGCCCCCGGGACCCCGTCCAATTACACCAACCAGTTCCAAAACATAATGCAGACCTGCTCGAGGCGTCAAATCAGATCAAACAATGCTAACACCATGAATCGCACTCCAATTCAAGCTTTATGAACTTAAGAACTTCAAACTTCAACATTCGATGTCGAAACCTATCAAATCACGTCTGATTGACCTCAAATTTTGCACATAAGTCATATTTGACACTACTGACCTATTCCAACTTCCGAAATCAAAATCCGACCCTAATATCAAAAGTTCAATTCCGGTCAAACTTCTCAAAAACCTTCAAATTACTAACTTTAGCCAAATGACTCCAAAATGACCTACGGACCTCCGAATCCACTTCCAGGCACGCTTCCAATACCAGAATCACCATACGAAGCTATTCCCAGACTTGGAATTCCAAACGGACATCGATAACGCTAAAATTCACTTCAACCCAAATTTATGAAATTCTTCCAAAATGCTAACTTCCACAATAGGTGCTGAAACGCTCTCGGGTCATCCAAAATCCGATCCGAACATACGCCCAAGTCCGAAATTATTGTACGAACCTACTGGAACCTTTAAATCCCGATTTCGAGGCCGTTTACTCTAAAATTCAATCTTAGTAAATTCTTCCAACTTAAAGCTTCCGAAATGAGAATTTTCTTTCCAAATCAACTTCGAACATCCCGGAATTTAATTTTGAAAGTTCATACACAGGTGCACCAATCTCCAGTATATTATGC